AGGCGAGCGGACACACACACACACACACACACACCACAGGGAAGGTGAACGCGGACGCGCCCATGGGGGAAGTGCGCACTGACACGCATGCACCCACAGGGAAAGCGCGCGCTGACATACACGTGCCCATGGGGAAAGTACGCGCTGACACACAAGCACGCACACGGGGAAAGCGCGCTGACATACACGTGCCCATGGGGGAGGCGAGCGGACACATACACACACACCCCAGCATGGGGGAAGCGCACGCGGACACACACGCACCCCCGGGGGCACCTACCCCGCCGTGGCCGAAGAACTCGCAGTAGCAGCAGTCACAGTATTTGCCCTCCTTCTGGTTGGTGGAGGTGGAGGTGCTGGAGCTGTGCTCGGAGCAGCTGTCCTCGTCTGCGCTGTCGTCACCATCGTCCTGCTGCGGGTCGTACACGCCGTTCTCACAGCGGTGGCCTTCACAGTCAGGGTCACTGCAAGGGTATGCGGGCAGCTGAGCCAGCCGTGTGCCCCCGCAGCCCCAGCCGGGCCCCCAGGGAGAGGTGACAGGGATCTGGGAGAGGTGGATCGAGCACTGGCTAGCAGGGGTCATTGGGGTATCTGGGCAAGGTAGGCCTGGCACAGGCCGAGGGGTCATCCACCAGGGACAGGATGGCCAGTGCTACGTCCTCCCAACACCCTCGCCATGGGCTGGGAGGATGGGTGTACAGCTGGGGTCAAGGTCAGGGTTGCCTTTCTAGAAGCACCCTCTCTGAACATTATCTGTGTTCAGCAAAGTCCACAGCCGCTGGGGGACCAGCCGCCCTACCCCAGCTGGACCCCGGCTTACCTGCAGACGCTGGGGGGTGCGCTGAGGGAGCCGTCTGTGACAGGGGGTGGGGGTGCCACAGGGGCTGGACAGAAGCTCTTGCGGGTCTCCACCAAGCCAGACGTTGGGGTGGTGATTTTGGGGAATGAGGGGGCTGTGAGATTTGCAAGATGTGGTGTGGGGGCCGGTGCCAGCCCAGCAGGTGGAAGGGTGGGGAGGGGTGCCAGGCCAGTGGGGCTGCTCCTGGGTGCGGCCTGGCCAGAGTGCCGGTGGTCCTCCTTGCTGATACCATGAAAGACTTCTCCTGTGGAAAGCCACCCGGAGTCAGTGCCAGGACTGGTCAGTGCCAAGGCTGCTGACAGACCTGGTGTCTCATCACAGTCCCTCCTCCATAGTCTGCTCACTCTCTTGCTTGCAGGTGCCCAAGCCCACAGGAAACTGGCAGGATTAGAACTGACCACATCCTCTGCTCATGCCTCCATTCATACCTTTTCATATCTAAGTTGCTGTCGGTGAGTTGAGCATGACTCACAGAGATTGTATGAACAAGAGGCCTGAAGCCTTTCTGTAACGATGGTCATTTCTCAAAGTTCACAGTTTGCAGAGGTGTGTTGTTTAGGAAGTGGATGCCACTCCTGCTGCCAAAGTCAGTAAGTAACGTAAACTTGGCCCCAAGCACACACTGCTATTAACACATCCCAGACCATGGGGTGACCATGGGCACAATGTTCTTATTCTCCATGCATGCCCCAGCCAACTACCCGTGTCCTTTATGGCCTCTCCCCAGCTGCCCCACCATCTGGGTTTGGCCTGTGTTCCTGCTGCTGGATTTGGGTAGATCAGCTGGGACGACTCTGGGACAGGGAGCACCTCATCACTGTTCCTTCCAGATCCTCATCACCTGTCAGTCCCCACTGTGCCAGCCTGAGCGCTTCCAGTGGGCACACTGTGTGCTCACAGAGCTCGGAGACCAACAGGCCAGTGCCAACAGTCCAGCCCTGACGAGGCTCACGACAAGGCAATGACTAGCACAACCTGTACAGCAAGTGAACAGGCCCTTTCTCCTGGACGCAGGGCCGGACCTCACCTATGGAAGGTGGTCTCAAGGACCAACACCCGCCCCCCCCGCCCTGGATGGCAGGGCCCCCGCCCTGGACAGCAGGGCCGGACCTCACCTATGGAAAGGTGCTCTCATGAACACCCCTCCACTCTAGATGGCAGGGCTGGGCCTCACCTATGGAAGGCGGCCTCTTCGATGACACCTTGAACTGGCTATTGCTGGACTGTACGGTGGTGGCTGTGCAGGAGACAGAGGAGGTGGCGGACGAGGTGGCCATGACCACTTTGTTGGCTTCCATGAATGCGTCCTGGAAATTGTACAGGCATTTCTTTTTCGCAGCATTTTTTTTCTCTTTGCTCTCTGAGATGGTGAGTGTATCACTGCTGGACGGAGGTGGGAGGGCTTCTGGTCTGGTTTCTGATAGCGTTGGCCCTAGTAGATCACCCCCTTTGGGAAAGAATGGGACCAGTAAGATATTCGGGAGAAAGAACGCTTACCCAGTCCTAAAGGACACACCGGACAGACCACATGTTAACTCTGGGGCTGCGCTGGAAGGGAGGCTTCCCGGCAGTACCCATCAGCCGGCTCTTCAGCTAAGAACAGCACATTCGTTGAGCACCTACTAAGTGCCCATCATGTGCTAGGTGCTTCTCAAAAGGTACTGCCCTGTATGTATTAAAACTAGCTTCTGAGGTTGGTATTCCAGTTCCTACCCAAAAGATGAAGAGTCTGAGGCCCAGAGAGGCTAAGCTTCCTGCCCAAGGTCACACAGCTAGAAATCCTTCCTGAGCAGAGACCAGGATACAGAGTCCAGCTGGTCCTGAGCACAGGGAGAGGCTGGGGTGCAGCCAGGGGCACCCTCTTTAGATCACACTGGCCCTGACTCTGGGGTAACAGGTGGCCACACAGCTGCCCCTCAGGGGCAGGCTGGAGAGGGGTCAGATCCCACATAGGGTCAAGGCAGGAATAGGAGGGAGGGAGGCAAGACGCAGCACCTGGGTGGCCTGGGGCCTTGTGCCTCACCACCTGTATGTGGGGGGGAGGGGGGCCTGGCTGTCACCACTGCCTGAGAGCCAAGTCAGTGTCACACATCAAACTCAGGACCCTACGGGGAAGGGTGGGGAAAGGAGGGGAGGCGCCAAGCTCAGGACGAGGCTCACTGTCCTGGCACCAGGTGCCAGAGGTGGTGTGCTTGGTGGGCACAGCGGGGTGATCTAGGGGATGTCTGAGAACGGGCTGTGGCAGCCAGCTCCAGCTGATGCGGGCTGCTGTGACTGGTGACAGCTCAGGTTACTATAAAACTTTAAGACATTTTTAACAAATTCCTTACCAGAAATTGTATCTGGCAAGAAAGTGCCAGGATTCCAGTTCTTATCATTCATCACTTCTGATCCCCAAAGACTTATAAATTTAGAACTAGTCCACTCTGGAGCGTTCCCAAAACAGCTCGGGTAAATATGGTCTTGCAGAGACGGATTGAATACCTGATGCTTATTTGTGGGATTCTGAACAGGTGCTGGAGGTAATGCCTGTAAAAGAAAAGTTCCAATCACTTATCAAGACGGACTCCTCAGTGTTTCCTCCACGCAGACACGCGGGTCCCTGGCGCAGGTCTCGAGCCCTGGGTGACGCGTGTGCCACGTGCTGCCTCTGGTGCTTCAGAAAGCACACGTGACATGGGCACACTGTGGTGTGGGTCGGGCACATCCTCTCGGCCCGTCTCAGGCATGGCCCATTTGTGTAAGATCTGCCTGTGGCCGACTCCCCATCTGACACTGAATGATCACCACTGTAGATCCCACTCTGTCTGTGGCCACCAACGTGGAAACAGTGACTCTCTCGCTGTCTGGAATGTGGCTAAGGTCCAGCTGCCTTCAAGAACCCCCTGCCCCTGCTGGCTCCGTCTTCCAAATCCCAAGTCAGCAAGGAAAGGATGCCTGGAGACCGCAAGCTCTTGCTGTCTCCAATGTCGGGACCAGGCTCAGTGCACGCCTTTCCCTCACAGGTGTTTATTTACTGAGAGCATAAACACACCCCCAGGTGCAGGCCCTGCCCCCCACCATTCGAGGCCAAGTGGGAATGGCCAGGTCCTTGAGGGAAGCAGACATGAAGATGGAGTGGGCAGATCTAGGGGGTTCCCAGGAGTGAGCGACACTTGGGCAGGGTCCAGAGGGCCCAGGCATGAGGTGAAGGCAGCAGGGAAGGACTGGAGTACATGGGGCGCACAGTGTGCCACATGGATGGGTGAGGCCTGCACTGTCCATCTCTGCCTGGCCAGGATGAGTGCTCCAGGCGTGGAGGGCCTGCATGGGGGCAAGCCTGCGCGACTTTATTCCGAGGGGGCTAGGACACATGGGGGTGTGATGACACTAAGTCAGGAGCTGCATGGAATGTGGCGAGGACAGCAGCTGCTGGTTCAGGGAGGGGCAGGACTGGATGTCTAGGCTCAGGCTCTCCCCTCAGGCACCACTGTACTGGTGGGGTCTTCCATCTGCTAGCTGTGTGACCTTAGGGAGATAACTCAGTCTTTCTGAGCTCCAGTCTTGTACATTTCTGTGAACTAGGGACAGTTACCTTGGCTGAGGGTAAGAAGAGGTGAGGTATGCAGGGCACATGGCATCAACTTATATAGCTATTCCCAGGACAGAAAGGGGCCTACAAGCCCCCTGGAACACACCTGCTCTCGCCCTGTGGAGGGGAGGCTGGGTCCCATCTGGGCTGGAGGCTTTGGGTAGGGAATGGAGTGAGGGGTCCGGGGCAACTGTGACAGGATTTCAAAGTCCACCCACCTCCGTGACCACCGCCAGGAAGAAGCAGGCTCTGAACTGGTGGTCTGGGCGGGGGAGCCCAAGGAGTGAAGAACCAGGAAAACAAGAGAACCCCCTAGACTGCTGTTTCTACAGTGATGGCGTCAGCACTGCCCAGCTCAATGGGCCATGACAGAGGTCCGCAGTAGCTCCCAGGTGTGCAGTGAGGGCTCCAGGGAGGTGCAGGCCCAGGGCCAGTCTGCCCAGGGGAAGTGATGTTAGGGAGGGAGGTGGGCGGAACTGGCGGTCACAGGGCAGGTCTGACAGCTCACGGGTGATGGACAGTTGTATCCCGAGGGCTCCAGCACCATCTCCTCTGTGACCTGGTCCCGCGGCCTCGTACAGACCCCCTCTTTGGTGGTACCTCTCTGTTCTGCATGGACACAGCTCCCTCTGTGATGCATCGACGCACTGCAGGCTGTGCCTTAGTTTCTTTAAGGACTGTCATTGTTATTGAGGTCACACTGAGGACAGGCCTGAGACTCACTGACCCGCTTGCTCGCATGGAGCCCGGTGCTGAGCACAGGCCAGGTGCTCACAGAGAGGACCGAGGAACCCAGGCTGTGCAGGGCTGAGGTCTCACAGGACCTTAACCAGTAACCAGAACACAGAGCAGCCACCTACGCAGTGTGGAGACTGTCATATCCCATCTATCCAAAGAGGAGATTCAGTCGCAGAGGCAAAAGGCAGAAACATGGAGGGTCTGCAGCACCCAGCTACGCGTGTGCATGGTGCTGCAGGAGAAGCCCTCTCTCCGCGCAGCTCAAAGGTCTCTCAGGAAACCAGGCTATCTGTCACCTGCCCAGTTCCTAGCCACTGCACACACACGCCAATGACGGCCACAGAACAAGTCACTCAAACCGCTAATGCGGCCGGGCAAGGACAATGGTGCCCCTCATCGCACCGATCCACTAAGTTTCAACTCACAGAAGCTTTAAAATGACCTCCAGTCCGACACAAGTAACTCAGAGGAAGACAAACATTTGCTTTAACTAATTCTTGTAACGTAAGTGGAAACCAAAACAGATGTCTTAGTGTAGCACACGTTACTCCTCAGCCTCACGGCCTCTCTGCTCAAATGAGATCTGAGGGAATGACGCGGCCCGTGACACGCACACTGGGGACAGGCGTCCTGCGTCGAGTGACGACTGTGGGTATGACGTGGCCCATCACACACACACACGGGACGGGTGTCCAGAGTTGAGCCATTACTGTGACGTGTATGACATGGCCTGTGACAGGCACACTGGGGACAGGCGTCCTGCGTCGAGTGACGACTGTGGGTATGACGTGGCCCATCACACACACACACGGGACGGGTGTCCAGAGTTGAGCCATTACTGTGACGTGTATGACATGGCCTGTGACAGGCACACTGGGGACAGGCGTCCAGCGCTGAGCGCTCACACAGCAGCAGGTCCTGGCCATACCGAGCTAAGCAGGGGCCCAGCACGAATGACGCCTTTCTGCGTGTGTGCTGAGTTGCGGCTTTGCTCTCTCCCCCACAGATGATCAAGAGGCAGAAAGCCTCACCACGCTCCGGCCTTGCTGTGTCTCAGGCCCAAAGAACTGAATACCCACGCACTCTCCTGAGTCAGTCCAACACACAGCAAGCTGTGATCAGGCTTCCAGGACTACACATCTCCCGCAGAGCAGCCGGTGGACTCAAGCACTGACCTTCCGCTCAGCAGGACAGCACAAAAGGCAATGTGCCCCCGAGCTCGTTAAAGAACTCAATATTGCTTCTAAGAAAACACACAGGCCAAATATTAAAACACCATTTCCAAGGTGAGAGAGTTGTGTCTCTTCTACCGTAAACAAGCGCCCGCACCCCCAGCCTCACTGCCATGCCCTAGCTGACCTCCAGTGTGTTTTCAGAGCCAGGAAGTCACATGGGAAGACACTGTCCATCTTTCTCTTGCAGAACAGCTGGTGCATTTGAACTTCTTGCCTTTGAGCCGGCAGTGCAATTCCCTATCTGCTGAACCACTCAAGCCTGACAGTCCACAAAGTATCTTCAAAGTGGTAAATAAGAAAAGGAGCCAGCAAAACGAATTTTTCTAGAGTAAGAACAACATAAAGACCTTTTCAAACAAAGGAGATTGTTTTGTCACAGTTAAATTTTTACTGACGTAACTTCTCTTCGATGAGGACATCTGACCTGTGTACAGATGACCTGAGCCACAGCCAAGGATGCCAAACATTTAAGGAAGTATAAATACTGTCTGCATAAGATCCTAGGATTACTGGTAATACTAACAGTATTGGCTACAATTAAGATTAATAAATACCTAAGTTTTTTAAAAGGACCAAGCAAAAACACCAGACAATAACAACATGTAAGTCCACGTGGGGCTTAACTAAGTGAAAGCATTTTAGGGTATTGTCAATGAGCTAACTCCCAGTTAAAACGGATAACTACACTTGATGAAAATAAACATGCTGTTAAAAGAGGTGTACTAAAAGAATAAAAACTAAGATAATTTAAAAGCAAAAATATGGAGAAAAAGAAGATTCAATGCAAAATAAAGTTGTAGTAGGCAAACTAACTCAATATAGCAGATGCCAGGTGCATGTTTAGGGAGAACAAAATCAAGAGATGGACAAAGATGACTTAAAATCATGTCTTTTAAAAAAAAAGCCAAAATCTTTTAATTTTATAGCACTCAGATTTTGGAAGTTTCATCCCTTTTTTAATTATTATTAACTTTAATGAAAGTTTACAGAGACTTAGGGTTTCCAGTCGTTCCTTGTTG